CGAGTCAGCGGTTGCCTGTTGTGCATGTTCCTTCTCTTCTTCCTTGTCGTTTTGTGCGCTGTTCTGTTCAATACACTTTTTGTTGTTTAACATTTGTTTTAAACAGCGAGTAAACCAGGGAGATGCATGTTCACATCCAACTTAGGTCTTAGAAACAAAGTTTTGGAGTAATTGTGTGAATGTGTTTTTAATTAGAAGCCAATTTTCGCTAACGAGCCTTTCGCCAACAGATGAAATGTAATACATTTAGATGTTCACTATTGCCGATGCCATGCCTTCAGTATTCGTGCGTGAAAAGGCGAATATTTTCCGTTAATCTATAGAGCGGTCTATTTGTTGCATTTCCCCGATATGGATCATGACATAGTAACTGATATTATCCATAATAATGGAAGACATGACCCAACAGAAGTAAGAAATAAATCGAATATAACTGCTGCGTATTGGTGCGGTGATCATTTGTTGGAGGTTGTACACACTTATTATTGAAGGCAAATCCGTACACTGCCGATAATTTTCAGTCAGGGATGGCATTAGCGGAGACTAATTTATTTCGGAGTAGTTGAAGTCGCCAGCAAGAAACCAGTGACGATTAGGACAATTATTGGCTGCATTTAGTTACATTATACAAATAATTATTCAATTATGTGCGATTTAGAGGAGGTGAACGAGAGAATGCACCGAGTAAAACACTGCAAAAATTAATTTAAATAAGAATCGACAGAATTTTAATATCAGAAAGCATCCATTTCGGAGCATAATTAGAGTTTTGTAACAGCGATAGTTACACCACCATCCCTAGCAAGCTGTTTGTTTTCGGTGAGTATTTTATGAGCAACTTAGTTACTTATCATTGCTGACGTCGGGAGTTTGCCAGGTTTTTGTGCCGAGATTAATACCAGGCTCGTTAACAGGAAGCGATGGTTTTTAGTTAATCTCATTTTGATAAGATGCTTGTAAAGTTTGCAACAGATTAGCCGGGCAGTGTGAAGAGAGGACATTCGGTTCGTAGGTTGAGTATAGATCGAGGACTTGCGTTTAGCAGCACGTCAGTCATTTGGTACACTAGTGCAGAGATAGACAACTGAGTGACTGTCGGTATCATAAACGTATGTGTGTGAACCGAGGCGAAGCATGTTTGTAATTCAGTTTGTCTCTGGACCCGCTTTTTTTTAATTTGTTTTACAAATTCTTACAGGTTCTGCCGCGAAAATCGCACCTTATTAAAGTAATCCTTGGAAATTCGAATCACAGGACTGACATCCTTTAATTTGAATCTAGTAGGAAGCACTTCTTGTTTGCTTTGGAAGTGAACACATTTTACGATGATCGGCCGATTAAAATCTAGACGTTTTCCGCCTAATCTCTGGGCCCTTTCGATTTGGTTCAAAATTATTCCAAGGATTTGTTTTTAGCAAAAATATTGATAACGAATTTAGAGTCATTCCAATTTTTGTTTCGAACTTCGGGGAATCTCTTAAATATTACACTGGTTCGCCGCATTCTTTATTTTTTTTAATGTCGTCAACAGTGTTGGCAGCTCCGGGCCATTAGGCTGGAAAAAGCAGCAGTGTCACTTTTCATGGGATTCGCCCCTGTTTCCACTGTGCTTAAATTTAGCTGGGTAGCTGTGATTTCATGCTCTTTAACCTCAAGGTTAGAGACCAGTGCCTCAAGGGCGGCGATGCCACTCTTTCTTTGGTCTAGCTTTGCAGAATGTTCTTCCTTATTTGCGTTGGAATCTGCAGTAAGACTTTCACCCGATTTTTTGCAGTTTATGCATTTTTTCAGTATCCATGTTGTGCCCGGGGGTAGCCTCAACATTTTTAGCGGTAGCCAGAAGTATAAACAAGACGATAGCCAGCGTTACCAACTTCATGGACCAAAATACATCCTTAACAGGAAGGCGCAGACTCTTTGTACTTTCGAGGATGTTATTTTTAATGAACAAAACAGCCGATGCGTGCTCTGTATTTAGCAAATATCAACACCCATCACAAAAACAGACCGAAGTTAAAACGGAAGTAAAATTCGGGGATCACAAGCCCAATGCTGTGCCAGACATAATTCTCTCGGATTAAATATCTTTCCTTCAACACTTACACATTGTGCAAGTGTTGATTCTCCGTATGTGCTCCTGTTTTGTTAGTTTTCGAAAATGTTTGGGACGTATTTCGTCAATTTGTATAGCGGCGCAAGCATAAACGATTTGTTGCGTAGCGGTCGTTGGAATTGATGCGCGTAAATATAAGCTCAATTAGATTTATCGCGTAATAATTCTTTACACTGGTTTGACGCTGACATTCTTCTTTTCATTTGATACGGACTCCTAAAATCCTTCTGAAGTTCAGAGTACCTTCAATCAATTTATTGGCTAAACAAGAACACGTTTCAATAGCGCGGCTGTCATCTTGCTATTCGAACATGGCGTGATTAGTCCTGAACCTTTTCGTTTTCGGATAAAAAGAGCGTAATATTTTCGACATGTGGAATTCGGGTAATAAGCAGAAGTTGGCAGAAGCAATTGGTTACCACATGCTCTCTGCCGTAAGTAAAGAGACCTTCTACGTCCGGCGTACCGCAAAAAAAGAAATCCATTTATGTTTAACATTAGGAAATTCGCCCTCGTATCTCGAGACACTGTATATCTTTCTTATATGTTTTTGATCTCGCCCTAAGTAAATCTTTCTGAACTATTTTATGACGAGGCGATTTGGCGTTCTAGAAGCTCTTTTTCTGCATCTCGGGACTATGACTAAACTAGCGAGCCGTGTGGAGTGTCAGAACGAGCCCAGATTGAACACGAGTGTTGCGTCCTCGAAGGGCTGGGACTTGTCATCCATTCAACACGAGCCGCACGCTGACGCTGCGCTCGTGTCCGGACGGTGCCTGTCCTCACCTCCGATAGGTGGCACAAGCCGACGCCCGATCAAAAAGGTTCAGCCACGTTCATCCATGCATACTGCCACGTTATCTAACAGGTGTTGTATTGGCGTTGTTCGGGCCTTCCTTCCTTCGGATGTCGCGGGAGGATTGCACGCGCAGCATACACAGAAAAATATATTTTTGTTTCTCCGCAGAATGAAATGCGCATTGCCGAACACTTGAATCTCCGTCCCAATGTAGCGCTAGCGTTCCGGACCAGATGCCGTAGTTCTAAAAGCTCGCCGTTCTCATTACAAAGTTACGTGATTTTTGGAAACTTTCTGCGCGATAATTGGGCCCGTTCCAGCTAGCTGAAACCATTCTACTTCATGTATTTGTGCGCTACGTCGGCCGTCATTTTCCCAACGAAACTTTTCGAAAATCAGTTATAACTTTTGAATCGGACAGCTGCAAGCTCGGAAACGTTGACATCTGTTCGTGACCGCTAGCACCACATTTGGACGGAGTCTGAACGTAAATATGAACAATTTATTTTTGCGGTGGCAAACCAATATTGTGATATTTTGCGGTGACACCCGGTAGATAGGTATATATATAAGAAACAGACGTGTTTCCAGCAACTCACCAAATATACTCACGCTGTACTCGTTCTAATATTTTAGAGCGCAGCTCTTAGGCGCCCGTTTCCGGCTTAAGCGGCGTCGGCGTCGCCGTCGGTGTCGGCGTAACCGCGCGGTGCATTATGAGTAAATTTCCCCGCTAGATCTAGCAAAAAAATTTCCTCGCTAAATTTAGCGGAAAAAATTTCCCTGCAAAATCTAGCGGAAAAACTTTCCCCGCTAAATTTAGCAGAAAAATTTCCCCACTAGATCTACTGGAATAATTTCCCCGTTAGATCTACCGGAAAAATGTCCCCGCTAAATCTAGCGGAAAAATTTCCCCGCTAAATTTAGCGGAAAAAATGTCCCTGCTAAATCTAGCGGAAAAACTTTCCGCGATAAATCTAGCAGAAAAATGTTCCTGCTAGATCTACCGGAAAAATTTCCCCGCTAAATCTACCGGAAAATTTCCCCGCTAAATCTACCGGAAAAATTTCCCCGCTAAATTTAGTGGAAAAAATTTCCCTGCTAAATCTAGCGGAAACTTTCCCCGCTAAATCTAGCAAAAAAAGTTTCCCACTAGATCTCCGGGAAAATTTCCCCGTTAGATCTACCGGAAAAATTTCCCCGCTAAATTTAGTGCAAAAGATTTCCCTGCTAAATCTAGCGGAAAAACGTTCCCCGCTAAATCTTGCAGAAAAATTTTCCCACAAGATCTACCGGAAAAATGTCCCCGCTAAATCTACCGGAAAAATTTCCCCGCTAAATCTAGAGGAAAAATTTCCCCGCTAAACCTAAAGGAAAAATTTCCCCGCTAAATTTAGCGCAACATTTTTCCGTGAATGGGAGGCGAGCAGGAGAGGAAGGAGGGGCATATCCTCCTCTCCGTACCTTCCCCTCCTCCTCCTCAAGAGCTGCGCTCTAATTCGGCGTTAAACGGTTTTCATTCATTTTTTCTGCCCCCCCCCCCCCTTTTTTTTTAGACAGAAAGAGGCCCAATGCGAAGTGAAATTTTCTCGGTGTTACGTGGGAGACCCGACATTTGCCTAAACCATAGCTCACTGCTACTAAAGTGTTTTTTCTATCGGATTTATCTCTTTCTTTTTAGATACGCAGTCTAGTGACATTTTTAGAAATGGCACTAGCCTTTGGTTTATTGAACGACTTAATTGACGAATATTTGAATCAGCTGACGTTAGCCAGGAAAGAAAGGTATTTAGTAAAATTTTGGCTGACATAAAACGGAGCGTGAGCTGGAATTGAGATCTATAAAAATTACGAGTAGATAAAAAAAAAAAAGCTTACAGCATCTCAGACATTAACATAGGCAAAGAAGAACTGAATTAGTTCTAGATCTTTCTTTTTGAAAATGTAGCCAATCGCTCATGGCGCAAACTTCCCATATTAAAAAAAAGAGAAAAAGAAAACAAACAGCAGTAAATTTTTAAAGGATTCCTCCAATCACCGATGTATTTCCTGAGAGGTCACAACAAGGTTGCTCGTTTTATTCCCCAGGGTGGTGCCATGTGCAGTCTTCTACCGTGACGAAGATGAAGCGCGTTCAGTCCAAGAAGCACCAGAATCCCAAGAGTAAGCGCGACTCCTTTTTTTTAAATCCTCAGTTCGTGAAGTTGTCAGGGGTGTGTCTCATCTTTGGCCTCGCTTTTCCAGAGACGAAAGAAAAGCCACTCGGTTCAAGGCGGCGCAACAGAAATTCCTCAAGTCTGTCACCGCACGGCTTACCGTGGCACAGGCAAGGGCACTTTTTTCATGTTGGGAAAGCGTAATACATTCTGCCAAGGTACCGGACCTAAATGACGTGATAACGTGAGCACAAAAAAAAAGGTGAAGCCGTGTACATGTAGTATTCTTTGTTTATGAGCTTTAGAGACACGGTATCATCATCATCTGCGAGAATCAAGAGCCACGTTATTGAATATACAACACGGGCACTTCACACCATCGTATGTGGTCTCCAAGGAGGATATGAACGAATATGTGCAGATGAATGAACCGTACTTAATCCAATGAATCAAAGAATCAAAGTTTCCAGAACGAAAGCCAAAAATTGGCGGAGCCAGGATTTGAACTCTGGGCCTCCCAATGTCCGGTCGGGTGTGCTAACCACTACACCACTCCACCTTGGCTTTCTGGCGTTTCCTACCTGTCTTATTAATGCACAAGAAACGAAATGTATCCAATCGGAGGTGTTCTGGAAACACACGCCGCCGCGTGGAACGCGGTACGACGCTTAGTGTCACGTGGTACGTGCTCGTTTCTGCTCCAGAAATCCTCCCACTGTTTGTCTCGCCCCGTGTACATGTAGTATTCTTTGTTTATGAGCTTTAGAGACACGGTATCATCATCATCTGCGAGAATCAAGAGCCACGTTATTGAATATACAACACGGGCACTTCACACCATCGTATGTGGTCTCCGAGGAGGATATGAACGAATATGTGCAGATGAATGAACCGTACTTAATCCAATGAATCAAAGAATCAAAGTTTCCAGGAACCCGCCGAAAGCCAAAAATTGGCGGAGCCAGGATTTGAACTCTGGGCCTCCCAATGTCCAGTCGGGTCTCGTGCGACATGCTCTTTATATACCTATCACATTCCTCCCCCCCCTAACAAAAATGAGCCAAGGTCCCACCGATTTTCACGGTGAAAAGCGCACAGGAGGCTTTCGTGCTCGATTACTTCTCCTCGGTAGTGGAGTACCAGGACTCCTTGGTAGCGGAATGCCAGGAACAGGCTGAGTGTCGTCATGCTGGTATTCAGCTGTTACGGTTTGAGGTATCGCTTGGGCAGAATCCTCTAGTGGTACAGGCACATTCCCATTAGGAGGAGCGGCCTGATCCGCCGGCTCTGGTCGCGGACCCGATGATGCCCTAGCTTGGGATAGGTCAGGACGCAGATGTCCTTCATGACGTCTCCAACACCGACCATCTGGGAGTGCGATATCTGTGATGTGGTCACTTGGAGTGTCGATCACAGTTGCCGGTACCCATGGTGGACCTTGTCGAAAATTTCTCGCATACACGGCATCACCCGGTTGGACAGTTGGTATCAGTCGAGCACCCCTGTCGTGCGCCATCTTCTGGATGAGTTGTTTTTTCGATACGCTTGACCTAAGGTCCGGGTGCAGTAGAGCCAAAGCAGTCTTCAACTTGCGGCCCATCAGTAACTCCGCCGGAGTGCACCCTGTGGTTTCATGAGGTGCAGTTCTGTAGTTGAGCAGGATTCGGGCCAGCTGACATTGGAAACTTCCATCAGCTGCCTTCTTCAGCTTCAACTTTATGGTTTGAACCGCTCGCTCAGCGGCTCCATTTGACGCTGGGTGATACGGTGGTGTTAGAATCTGCCTTATTCCATTTTGTTGAAGGAAGTTCTTAAAGCTACCGCTTACAAATGCCGGCCCGTTATCGGATACGACGAGGTCTGGTAGTCCGTGACAGGCAAACATCACACGCAGGCAAGGGATCGTGGCTTCTGCCGACGGCGTGGACACAGGAACGACCTCAATCCATTTTGAGTAGGCGTCGACCACGATGAGTAGATATCGGTTCTTCATTGGTCCAGCAAAGTCGATATGAAGACGAGACCATGGCTTTTCTGGGAATGGCCATGGCATCATTGGTGCTGGTCGTGCGAGTCGCTGGTTTTCTTGACACACACGACATCCCCGCACTGTAGCCGCAATGTCTTCATCTAATGATGTCCACCATACATGACTTCTAGCCACGGCCTTCATTTTGGCGATCCCTGGATGACCTTCATGCAAGAGTCGTAGAACCTCTGGTTGTAAGGATCCTGGGATGACGACTCTTGACCCCAACAGGATACAGTTCTCTTGTACGCACAGCTGAGTTGTTCGAGGAGCGTACGGTTTTAAGTCTGGGTCATGCAGCTCAGCTCCAGACCACAAATGATCTCGAAGCTTCGACAAAATCAAGTCTTTTGAAGTGGCGCCAGCCACGACAGACGCAAGTAGTACGCGAGGATAGGCCCCCTCGAGCATAAATACCTCGGCTGGCCGCTCGATGGAACATGGAGGAACTGGCAGCGGCAGCCTACTCAAGGCATCCGCATTTGCTATGTGTGAACCAGGTCTGTACTTCAGTTTGTAGCTGTAAGCCGACAGCTTACTACATGTACACGGGGCGAGACAAACAGTGGGAGGATTTCTGGAGCACAAACGAGCACGTACCACGTGACACTAAGCGTCGTACCGCGTTCCACGCGGCGGCGTGTGTTTCCAGAACACCTCCGATTGGATATATTTCGTTTCTTGTGCATTAATAAGACAGGTAGGAAACGCCAGAAAGCCAAGGTGGAGTGGTGTAGTGGTTAGCACACCCGACCGGACATTGGGAGGCCCAGAGTTCAAATCCTGGCTCCGCCAATTTTTGGCTTTCGGCGGGTTGCTGGAAACTTCGATTCTTTGGTTCATTCATCTGCACATATTCGTTCATATATATATATATATATATATATTGACAACTTCTTTGCCAGGACGCAACTGAAAACCGTTTTTGCGTCAAACTTTCTGTTCTCGAGGTTTCGGCTCCTAAAGGACCAAAGGCAGATTTTGGGACTTAAGGAATCGTCACTGGTCGCGTATTTGAGAACTTGTCCAGTTTCAGGACCTTCCGCACGACAATAACTCTACATGGTTTTGTAAACTTCACCAAAAGCGCCAAATGTCCATAAATGTGTGCTTTCATAGTTCACTTTGTTTAGATTAATTTGTGTAACCTTATTTTTCTTACAATAAATTATATATCAAGTGAAAACTTAAACTTGTACTTTTTCAATACCTACAATATAAATATAGTTAAATAATTTGATATTAGCGAAAAGCTTATTTCGAACACGAAAGGAAACTTTCAAAGCACAAAGTCCAACTTTAAATTTCACAAAAGGTATATTTTTATTTTTTTCCTTGTTTTTTATGAAGAAGGTTTGAAATGGTATAAAACATACGATGAGTATGAAATAGAGGACTTTTTTGCTTACCGTTCTCTTGTTTTGTTTTGAGTTGCATCGGGGCGATGCGTTTTTAAGGGGGGGGGGAAGTAATGCCAGGTGCGCAACTAGCCAAGTCGGCAGCGCGCTTGGCGCAGGGCAAACGTGCCGAGGTTCGATGCCTGGTAATGCACGCACCTTTCACCACTATGGGGCTCCCAGTCTTCTTTCTTTTGTGACATTCAAACCACGTTTATTTTTGCTGATTTTTGGCATATTGCTATTAGTAGTGCGTTCGGATATCCAACTTCAAGCAGCCTAGATATTTGCATGTCAAAACTTGTATGAAACTTGTGTTCACATGACGTTTTGAAGGCGGAGGTTAGTGCTCTGTTGGTGACACCACGTTTTACGCTTTTTTTATTCTTCGGAATTAAATAGTGAAAATGCTTTACAGAACGAGTTTCGGATTCCAAGCAAATGTAGCCTTTAAATTCTAAGGTGAGATCTAGGATCCTAACAGTGTTTACGGAGAGTTCACGAGGGAAGGTCGTCAATGCTACGCAACTCTGTTCAAAACATCTCGTGGCGTATTCCCGGCATTACCCTTTCTTGTTAGAGAGAATCAAAAAGTCATCTACATACCGAGATGTGCCTTCATTCCGGAGATCTTTCATGACTTGTTGGATGACGATTCCGTATGCTGCGAGGAAGACGTCGCTGGAGTAAGGGGCCACTCGAGAGCCGATGCTGATCTTGATGGGATACTTACGTCGCTGTAAAGTAAACGCGAAACGACCCCGAAAAACTGTCTAACTACATCGCCGCCGCGTTTTGGAACGGTGTGATGCCTTGCTCTTCATTGCTGTCCCAAAGTACTTTTTTGAGGCCTGCGTGTGGGGGTGCATAGTACATGTCTTGAATGGCCAGATAAAAACCGGAGGTGGAGTTGTACCCATTTTGTCGAAGAAAAGTGATCCTATCTCGGCAGACAAGCTTTGCGATTAGGAGTCAAAGTTCTTGTGGTTGAAAAAGGTTAAAAGATGGAGATACCTCTTGAAAAGAAAAGTGACGGCATCACCCAAAAGGACCCCGATTCAAGACATCGGGGAAGGCAGCCTTTCATCACAAGCCAAAAAGGTACTTGAGCGGGGTCCGATGTATTCAATTCAACCTCTACGTAAAGGGACGATGGGGCGGTTCAGCATGTGAGAAAAAAAAATTTGAATTGGGTTTACTTGGCCGTTAGAATAACAGATATCATAATTATGTCTGAATAGCACGCAGGGCGTCATCTCCGAGGATGATCTACTTGGAAGCTCGAACGAAGAGATCCTTGAAGGTCTTAAAGATCAGGGAGTCATCGCTGTTCGACGGATCACTCTTCGTCGTGATGGTCAGGAAAGGGACACTAACCATATAGTTTTAACGTTCAACTCAACAAGTCTCCCCTCCGCAGTCAAGGCTGGCTACCTTAACTGCAAAGTGAGGCCCTACATCCCCAATCCTAGACGTTGCTTCCGCTGCCAACGTTTTGGCCATGGGTCAACCACGTGCAGAGGAAAAACGACATGTGCCAAATGTGCAAGCAACGATCACCCCACAGACAACTGTTCTAGTGACTCACACACCTGCTTGAATTGCCGAGGACCTCACCCGGCATACTCTCGTTCGTGCCCTAAATTCAAACTGGAAAAGGAAATAATAACTCTAAAGACAAAGGAAAACTTGACTTACCAGGAAGCACGTAAGCGTCTCTCCTTCCTGCAAGGAGGCACGTATG